TCTTTAAAAATGTTTTAAACAATTATACAATGTTTAGTGTACAGCTGTTATCTGTGTAGCATTCACATCTAAAAGAGAGGCAAATACTATAGAAACTCATAACATTCAAGGGAGCATTCAAATAAGACAAATGTAAAATCTCTTCAAATAATGCAATAATAATAGAAGACTCTATAAATGAAAGGGGCAAAAATGGGACACATAATTAAACCAAATTAATCAATACAAGCACTTTTGCATTATTACTATGAATGTCACTGATCATTGTAGCCTACTAAATCAAAATTCATACTTAATTTCTTAAATTTTGAACAATAAATTGTTTGGGTTTAACTTGTACAAACTGTGATTTATGGTTTAACATGGTGTGTAAAACTAGTGAATTGTGGCTAACTCAATAAATAATGGTTACACAGTTATGGCTTAGTATAAGGCGTGAACTTTATATGTGAGCCAGTTTGGTGTACCGGTTAAGGCATCAGGCTAAAAACTGGAAGTCTATGAGTTTTAGTCCTGCCTTAGGCATGAAGCCAGCTGGGTGACTTTGGGCCAGTCACTCTCTGTCAGCCCTAGGATGAAGTGAGCAAGGGCAAACCACTTCCGAAAATGTTGCCAAGAAAACTCTAATTCAAAGGCATAAATATCCATACATCAAATATGTACAGTACATCCCCTCCTCATTTAGTGTCCGCATTCCATTCCAACAACTTGACTGTTATTCCAAAAGGTCACTAAGCAAACACATGACTGATAGAGAGACATTGCAAAGATCACTGGTTGCTGCCATCTCATTCAGATAGTTCTCTCATACAGTGTCCTGTGCCTGATCTGGTTTTTTGTTTTTTGTTTTTTTGCCCCCTTGCAGGGCGGAGAGCTTGCTTAAACAAGCTACCTCTTCCTGAACTGTTTTACTGCACACCTAAAAAGTGCTAACTGCAAGTTAACAAGCTCAACTCTTAAATAGTTGATTAGAACTCTCCAGCTGTGCTGCTGCCTGAAACTGACCAGACCTTAATCAGTTTCACACTGAAGGCTTTTGTTGTCAGGTACAGGAAATTTGGTCATAAATTGCGAATTGGTTGGAAAATGCATTTTTTTATTACTGTCTATTGCCATCATATTTGCAAATGGTTGCTAACCGAGGTAGTTACTAAAGAAGGAGTGGCTGTATTTTAAATTCATATTGTCAGTCAGGAATTCAAGGCAGCACACAAGACTTCCTTCTTTTTAATTTTTTTTAAATATAATTTTACTACAGTTTCAAGTACAAACATAAAAGACTAATACAAACTAAGGAAAATATAAAAATAAAAAAGAGAAGTGTAAAGATATAGAAAAAAGAAAGGAAAAAGGAAGATATATAAAAGATGACTCCCCCCCCCCAGACAAGTATAAACAATTTCAGTAGTTTTACACCTTCTCTAGTATTTCAATTTAAAAAAAAGATCTCTTCTTCCCATATCTCATCCCTTATCAATAATCAAATTGTAAAAACTCATCATTCAATCCTAATCAGCAAAAATCAACATATGTATTTTAACCTTAATCAAAATTATCCATTTTATAATCCAATTTATCACTTTCTCTAAGAAGTAAAGCAAAAGAAATCTCTCCCTTCTTATAACCAGATCTTTAAACCCTTGTCATTCAGTCCTGGTTAAAAAAAAATCCCACTAATAGCTAACAGAAACCACAACATATATTTTAATCCTGGTCAAATAAGTTTACTTTGTAAACCTTCTGTTTACTTTTAAAAAGCTTGATCTTTAATCCTGCCAAATAATGTCCCACAAGTTGATTTCTTATCATTTTCTCTTTGTCTCCTTTCAGGAACAGCTTCAGTAGTTTCTCTTTGTCTCCTCTCAAAAACACCTTCATTGGTTTAACACATTCCTTTTATAAATCCAAGATAAGAAGGCTTTCCAAGTCACTCTTCTGATTTATTATTTGCATCTCTGCTTTAACTACTATGACATCGGCTGGTTTCATTTGTAGATCCATTTTGACATCTTTTTCGATATCACTCTTATACTCTAGCATTTTTAAATCCATTTTCAGATCCACAGCATCTTCTTCCCTATCACTTTTCTAATCCAGCATTTTTTAACTCCAAATCCACATTCAAATCAATCTCAGTCTCTATTTTATCGAGTAAAATCAGTTGTTCTTCTATATCCTCTGTCATAGTATCAGACAATCTTGTAAGTAATTTCTGACTACATTGTTCTCAAACAGCCTTAATTTCTTCTATAGTCAAATAGTATTGCTCCATTGTATTAATGGATCTCTTCTCCTTTAATTGTAATTGTTTGTTGTCTTTGGTTCCTTCAAGTCCCTTCTTATCATCTGTTTGTTTTCTAGTCAACAAAACTTTCCCACGGGAGGATTTCTTACAACTAATTTCAAAATGTTCATATATTCTTTTATAAATTTTAAAACATCCCACAGGAAGTATTCTTTCAAGTCCATCTAGCCCTTTAACTTTCCAAAATCCACATTCTAGCCTCCCTTTTGCTGTTTTCCAAAAAGTAAATCTTTTCTTTTTAATCCGTACACTTACATGGAGCTTCTTTCATCCAGGGTTGAAGGAGATTCTCCCGGCATAATAAAACTTGCCCTTTGGAAGGTTCTTAACTTCTAAGAAATCAGTAAAAGCAGCTTCCTAAAGTAATTAAGAGAGGAAGTAGGTGAACCCACCATCTTTTTGAAAGGCGCCGAACTATGGGTTAGGCAGAATGGTTTTCCCCTGGTTCCCAGAACTCTTAGACCCACTGGAGATCGCTAATTTATGTTCCCTTCGCAGGAACATAATCATGGCAATTATAGGTGTCTATTATTATAACATACAAAAATGCAGTGCTGAAACTGTTTACACCAAACTGGAGCTGTGTCAATAATTGCAACATATTACTGTATAGCATTGAGTCCAAAAGAGGTGTGTGTGTGTGTGTGTGTGTGTGTTTTAATTCTATTTCCTCAAAAGTTTTTTTTTTTTAATTTGCCACCTTCATATTTAATCTTTCCAGTGCACCAGAATGTTACATCAAGTGTTGTATGGACGTTCCCTAAAGTCATGCTTTGTCATGGCCCTGGATGTCATGTCCACATACAGTGTCTTGCAGGAACACTGTACAGATGGATAATTCATTTAGATAATTCATTTAGATGCGCAGGTTGAACATTTCCTTGAACTACATGTCCTATTATTACTAGAATTCAGAAAACTGTTATGTCAAAAGCAATTTTTACAAATGCTACATTTACCAGATGGTTATTGGCCTAGAATGTTTGAAACTTTATACCATCTCTACCTTGTTAAGCACCTTTACTTTAGAAATCTCTAATGTTGTTGCTATGTCTGTATGGAATTTGAAGTGTAATTTTACAACACAGTAGTAAATGCCAGCATTTAAAAATTGTTTCCACGTATGGCATGGCTATCAGAAATTAAAGGTATAATTAATCTCAGATTAGTGTTCACATTGTTTCTCTCCCTCTTGCATGTTAGGAAAACCAGTAAGAGCAGTTTGACAAGTGGTACAAACGACTAAGGGAGATGTGAGCATCCTTTTTCTTTTCAAGCCGAGGCTCGGCACCCTTATGTTGGAGATTCTTTAATTAGATTCTTGTCTGAACAGAAGATTAGACCTTAAAAACCCTAGTATCTTCTACTTCTATGATTCTTGTACATATTATCTGATTCACCTTGAAAAACACAAAAGGAAATGGAGGCAAACACAAACCCTGTAGCTAGTTCTTAATGAGAAATGGAAAGATGAAATGTGTTGGTTCCTGAGAGACAGTTTCCTAAAGAGGCCTTTTGATTAATAGCAAGGAAAGATTGATTGATTGAATGATTGATTGATTAAATGATTGATTGATTGATTGATTATGTGCCATGAGTATCAAGAGTCAGTATACATAGTTTTTCTCCATGACAGTCTGCCCCTAACCTGGTCCTTCAAGTCTTCCAATCACCACTGTAACTGAGTTCATCCACCTTGCTGAAGGTTGCATTTTGATTTTACCCCTTGACCCTATGGAGTAAACCAGACCTTAAATGGTTTTTAAAAAACTGTTACATGGAAGATTCGGATGGATCCTGAGATTTTTACTTTGGGTCAATTACTGGATGATAATGAGTCTTACGTTACATTGAAGGAAATGTATCATTGGCAATATTTACAACTACAATACTTGCTGACATCTTGATTTTGACCTGTGGTATTTTTAGCTTCAAAGACACTTTATTAGAAATATCATTAAATCTTGCAAGGCAAAAAGCCCACAATTAATGTTTATAAATACTTGCTATCAATAAATCAATATGATATGCAGATTTTAAAACAATGGGACAAGATTTGAGATCTGTATTTAGTCTAAGCAATGGGAAACTGTCTTAAGATCTATATCAAACAATTCAATAGATCTTAAACTACCACTTATTTAACAAAAGCTAATACTTTACGCTTCTTGGAACCAACTGCAGTTTGTATAGGAAAGAAATGAGTAACCATTTTTGTTGGAGATGCAGTGAGAATAATGCTTCTTTAAGACATGTTTTGTGCTGTCCTAAAGTTATATTCTGGAAGGAAGTAATTATATAACATTAATTTGACTTTGTGCAAGGGACTATTGTATTTTTGGATCTGTTACATGGACAGATTCTTTCTGCCCTTCTTATGGCTAAAAGATTATGCTTTCTATGACATACTCATGCAACATCAACAAAGAAAGTGCTTCTTTAGAAATATCTCTTTGTACTGTATACTTACTTTATTCATTAACACATACAGTTAACCAATTAAAATCTATTAAATGAATCACAGCCCTCATAATGAATTAGTACTCTGAAGTAAATGTTAAAACAGTGAGAAGTTTGATAATTTAATGTATTAATTTTATGATTATTCAGTTTTTGGAACTGTATATCTTGCATCCAGATTTTTACAGGGAGATTATTATAATTTTCTGTTTTTCATTTCTTGTTAATTATAAAGGCCTACTTGGCACGTGCAAGACAAAGTGGATGCCAACAACGTGGCGTACACAACTGAGAAGCTAAGTTTTCATACTGATTACCCTGTTCTGCAATTTCCACCAGGGGTAAGAGAAACATAAAAGGCAAGGAAGCAGTATAGTGGGTGTCCATAGAATAGTAATAGAAATGTTTTGATGATTTTAAGCCAAGTATTATGTTGTATGAGAACCAGTTTGGTATAATGGTTAAAGGCACCGGGCTAGAAACCAGGAGACTGTGAGCCAAGCTGGGTGACCTTTGCCAGTCACACTTTTTCAGCCCTAGGTAGAAGGCAGTGGCAAACCACTTCCAAAAATCTTGCCAAGAAAACTGCATGGATTTGTCCAGGCCAAAGGTGCATACACACACACACACACACACAAATGCAGTACACTTGGCCTAATGAGGCACAAAAGAGCCTAAATGATCAGTGGGTGACTGATTAAAGCATATCTTTTTATTTGTTCATTATTTATTCAAATGTCTAACTCAGGAGATTTTTACCTAGCGTATGATTTATCATGATCTTATTCTGTATGTTTTCATTTATATGTGATGAAGGGAGTTATTTAAACTGAAAGTAGACTTTTACATAGACATATGTATAAATACATTCAGTTAAGAAAACCATACAGTTGTATCTACTAATATTGTATGAGTATTTTATTTATATGTTTATTTATATGTGTATATATTGCTTTTATGGACATCATTTATAGACATCCCAAAGCAGTTTTCAATAGTATTGTATAAATGAATTCTATAAAGTAAAAATAATCTATTACTGATTATTTTTGTACTGACGGAAGTAACTATCCATGGAAACCAACGTAGAAAGTAGTGTTTTTAAAGAAAATTTAAAACATGCCAACATTGGCATCTGTGGCAGAACTTCCCAGAGGACCCAGCCCCAATTTACAACTATGTCATGAACAGCAGAACCTCTCCTGAAGCTCATACGTGTTTGTATAAATAATGGTATGATCAATTTACAACTATGTCATGAACAGCAGAACCTCTCCTGAAGCTCATACGTGTTTGTATAAATAATGGTATGATCAATTTACAACTATGTCATGAACAGCAGAACCTCTCCTGAAGCTCATACGTGTTTGTATAAATAATGGTATGATTTGAGTTAATCTGATTCCAAATTGTTTAGCGCTTTATGAATTAATACAAACAACTTGGAGCTGGCTCAGTTGCACACTAGAACTCAAACATGATGAATAATCTTCCTAGTGTTTTCTGAATTAATTGCAGCTCTGAACTATTCCTAAGTTCATGGAGCACATCACAATAATCCAATTTTGAGACGACCAGTGCAGGAAGCATAATAGTCAAGCTCCCTAAGTCCAGAAACAGGCAACTGATTTATGAAAGGCAGATAGTAATAGGTAACTGTGCCTCTAGTGAAGAGGATAGAACCAGGAGCATACTGTTCTAAATGAAAAGTACAACCCAGTAGAGAACAAGCGGTTTTTGAACTTGGGAGCCAGTGGTTTACAGGATTCCACTACTGGATGAACTGGATGATTGGTCATCATCCAGTTCATTCCAGGGCTCAAATACTTCTCTAGATACTGGACAACCTCTTTTGATTCAAATGATATCTTGCTCCCAGTCCCCTAATCTCTATACCAACAGCTTCATATACATTTTAAATAGCGCTGGTGATACAATAATATTTAGTACCAGATCTTACTTCCAGATATCCCTCTACTTCTGCCAGTTCATAAAATGTATTATTTTGTTAGTCCTGAGATGGGCAACCTGGTGCTCATCCAGACATTTTACAATACAACAGCTGCAATATTTTGCAGTTCATCATAGTCACTGGGGCTGATGAGAGTTGAAGTCCAAAACATCTGGAGAGCACTAAATTGCTTTAGGTTAGTATTTCTCAATTCAGTTTTAATCAGCTTGTGTATATTCACAGATTCATACAGTTTGTCATATTATTGTTATTTTTTGTGTTACTTATGTCACATGTTTTGAATCGTTAGCTGACAAACTTGTGCACATGTTCATCAGGAGTGAAACAAGGTATTGCTCTGTGACATTGCACAGAGAAGATTCTAAAGTAATGCAAAGTTAATATCATTTAAGTCTCCTAATAGAAAACAGTGAGATCTCAGGACTGGTTCCACTACCACATGCAGCAGTCAGAGCCTAATTCAATATAATCATCCCATTTAAATTTATAAGAAGCTCCAAATGGTGCAAATTGGTCTTTGTGAATACCGATCCTGGTGAAGTTTATACCAATTCCAAGTTATCTTCCACATGATCATTTTAAATCAGCCATATACTCAATCATTTTTAGCTCAGGATGTATCAGTTGCTGTAATACATACACAGAGTATTGCAGAGAAATGCTTAGAAACTCTCAGATGGGTTCATGAGAGAAAACCCTTTTGTTGAGCGGTTTCAATGGAGAAAATGTATACATATTTCTGTTCAGTGTTTTAATAACCTACTGAACTTCTAATGCTGCCCATATTTCTGCCATTCTTGCTGTATTTGCAAAGATGGGAGAGATTAGTGTGATGTGTGTTATTGCTGTAGGAAACTTTTACTCAAGTTCTTCAGACAATCTGTAGTAATCATACTTTTAATGAATTAAGCAGACCAACATCATGTGCTACTAAATAGATGCCAGATTTTTCAGACTTAGCAGTTACCTGAAAATTCATTTAGAGGTTGTACAAGTGCATATGGTATGGGAATCAAAGGATATTTTTCAAGTCAGAAAGAAAAGAAAGTTCATATTCTGATTTATGCCAGGAATCACACTCTGCCTTGTAATATTACTTTTAAATGCTTGTAAGAATTTTTTAAAACATAGTTTAGTGAAAAGTTGTGCAAGCAATCTTCATAGTCACTGCATGTTTGTATTTATTTTTCTAGATTTGTGACTTTTAAAGGATCAAACCAAGTCATGTTATATAGTAATGAGATTCCTAAAGACATTGAAATAAAATATAAATGTAGAGCATAATGTTGAACTTATAATATAACCTGATATTAATTTGTTCCAGATTCAGTTACTGCATTGTATAAAACAAACTTCTACTGGAGGGCAGAGTGAAATTGTGGATGGATTTCATGTAGCCAATAAGTTTAAGGAGCAAAATCCTTATGCCTTCCAAATCTTGACCTCTACATTTGTGGATTTCACAGACATTGGAGTTGATTACTGTGATTTCGCTATGCAGTCCAAACAAAGAATTATAGAGTAGGTAACAATGAAAGATACGGTATCTCTTTCTCTGATGCTGGTTACAATGTCTAGAAGCTATTCCTGAATTGCAAGCAAAAGTATATTTTTGATTTATTTATTTGTTTATTAAACAAATTGATATGGCCATCCATCTCACTGGTGGAACTCTTGGCAGCAAGTTTTATTTAACAAAATGAAAAGTGTTAAGACTGTGCCTGCCACCTTGTGGACAAGAATACAAATCAGCTTTTTAAAAATGTATGTGCTGTTTGTGTTATCATATTGTTAGATAGATGGATGGATGGATAAATAGATATGGATATAGATATATGTTCTATTTTAAAGTTGAGATTTATCTGCATGTAATTTTGGATTTTTGTTAGTACAGCCCTCAGCAGAGCACTTTAAGATGACAAAATACAGCTGTATGGAGGGAGCTTTGTTCTACAATGGGCAAGTGGTTGGTTTTACTTTCTCTTCCATTCACTTTATAGAGTTTTTACAGCTGAGACACATTTCATTTTGAAAAAGGTGATAGCAATCCAATGCCACATTAAACACCTTCACCATAATGAAGCCTAGAAATTTAAAAGCAAAACACTTTAAGTCTCTGCCAGGATGAACCAAATCTGTCAAGTTTTGCTTGTTTTCATGTTTAACTTTTCCCTAGTCTCAAACACTCTCAGATTTATAAGGAATTTTGGGAGCTTTAAATGCTTTACTAAAATGAACCAGTCAGATTCTCAATTATTTATCATAAAGTAGTTAATTCATTATAAGTTTTATAGTTTATTCATTATAAGGTTTCCCATTTAAAAAAAAGTGAATGAGGACTGGTGTTACTGTAAAACTTTGAAAATTTGAGGATAACCTGTTTTGTTCTCTCATTTCTCAACAGTGTAGATGAAAAGGGCCAAGTGGTTCGTATCAATTTTAACAATGCAACCAGAGACACAATATTTGACATACCTGCTGAAAAAGTAAAGCCATTTTATGCTGCTCTCAAGGACTATGTTGATCTTCTAAATAGCGTGGATAATAAATATTCATACAAAATGAAGCCAGGTAGGCTTGGATAAAATGGTAATCAGTTTTTTTTTTCAACTAATATTAAGAGTCTCTTTCAGTAGAACTAGGAGGGAAATATTCAAAAACCTCTTTAGAAAATCCCCCAACTATTAAGGATAGATTTTTCAGGTACAAGGGGGACTCCAGGCAAAAGTGCAGTTCTGTTGTATAAATCTGTTACACCACACTGGATCCCATGACATCCTTCATTAATTAAAATATTTTCATTAGCAAGAATAATAAAATTCCTTATGTGCTTTGTTGCCAATCCTCCCCAGCTTTTGGGGGAGAGGGAGGGAGGGAAGGGGTGGCTGGAGGAGAGTAGTATGACATATAAACCTTTGCTTTTTGCCTTCCTATCATATGCAGTGCTTATTTTTCTTGAAATGTATACTGAAATAATGGAAACAGACAGAGAGATGGATCTGAAACAGATTTCTTCTAATATTTGCATATTAAGTGTATTTGGCAGCACCAAGCCTACCTTGGTTGGATCTGGTTAGTACTTTGATGGGAGGTCATCAGAGAAGCTGAATGCTGTAGGCTAGATGGGGAAGTCAGAAAAACATCCTAGAAGAAAGCAGTGACAAACTACTTTTATTTTTATTTTTTTAATTGCCAAGAAAACTACATGCCAATGCTATCATCAAGAGTTAAGCTGTATTCAAAGAATTACCGGCTTCAATAGTTCAAAATACTGTATAATTAAGCCTTCTTGCTCTGTCATATCTCTAATCAATGTAGATGTATTTGTAGAGTCCTTGGGGTTCTCTGAGCTTGGTTCTTTTCTTGCAAATGTTTCATTGCGCAACTAGGTAACATCTTCAGTGTATTGAAGATGCACTGAAAATGTTATCTAGTCAGGTAATGAAACATCTGCAAGAAAAGAACCAAGCTCAGAGAACCTCAAGGACTCTACAGTTCAACCCCGAGCTGTATATATTCACTTCTATTGATAGATGCATTTGCCACAGATTTTGTTTTAAAATAATTCTTCACCTTCTTGCTAGGTGAAATAGTAGTATTTGATAATTGGCGTTTACTTCATGGTCGGCAGAGTTACCAAGCAGGAGCAGAAGTATCCCGTCACCTTGAAGGGGCCTACGCAGACTGGGATGTAGTAATGTCAAGACTCCGAATCTTACAAAAGAATGTCCTAAGGAGACAATGCCTTTGAAGGTTGGACTAATGAGAACCTTTGCTGGGATTGGATGGTTTTTCCATAAAGGCAAACGGACCTGATGTATTTCCAGTTAATTCAGGGCATTCCTAGATAAGCTAGATGTTATCTATCCTGTTAAATATGTAGATGATCTCTAAAACAAGGAATAACACGGGTTCGTACTGTGAGAGCACATAGTTTGCCCTTTCCTGCTGATTCGAATCTGGGCAACTCCCAAGTTTTCCAAAGAATTGTGAGGAATAGAGTAACAAGAACCAAGAACAGCATGGAAGTGTTGAAAATGTTTAGCAAGACCCTCTCTGTTTTGGAGGCCTACACATTATCATTGAGGGCAGCAAAGAAATCAAAGGTGGAATGGGAAGTTGTCTTTGTGAAGGCCCTCCACTGAGGAGAAGTCCATTGCTACTAGCCCTCTGGAAATTAGGTTATTTTCTTTCCACAGCCTTAAAAGTTAATGGTCTGTTTGATATTTTCTCCTGAGCATATTTTGTGATTTTTCACAAATGAGTATAAGCTGCCTCATAGGCACAAGACCAAGATAATAATGAACAAGAACTTCTGTTTCAGTTTTTTAAGTGGCAATATGTTGCTCTTTCCATTTGTGTGCCTTATATACACCCACATATTTTGTTTTATAAATGAGAAATAAAGGCTTGTGTGAAACAAGCAGAAAATACTTTTCTTTAAAAATAATGAAATCGTAGTAAATGAATATATTCATACATAAAATGCATATCATTGAAATTATAATGAGGCTAAATGTATGCCTTTCACACTTCCTGAAGTTTTATAACATAGAATGACAACAAATTCTTGCAAGAATCAAACCACCCTGCTCAACACTGAGTTTAGCACTATCTATGAATTCAACTATTCTCTTAATCCCAGTTCTTTCCAATGATGTCTCCCATATGTAATGTAATAGTTTTTCAAAGGTGACTTAAAAGAACTAAGATGAATTCCTTTTATGCAAGAGTAGATCTTAGATAATAGTACAGAATATCCAGTGGATACAATTGCTATTATTAATGTTCATGGTGATTTTTTTTCTCTGACTTGCAGCAGAATAACTTTTGGCAAGTGGATTGCCAGAGAACAGTCGATTCTCAAGTGGGAATGTCTAACTCCTTATTGGACTGCCATTTATTCCCACATTCACATCTGCAGTCATCTGCCTCCATCATAGTCAGCTGGAGGGTTTGCACATGTTTATACAGATTAACTGATCCACGCTGAGCTGGATAATTTGTCATTAGAAGCCTGCCTACCCCCTTCAGCGTCTGCCTTTGCATTTAGCTACATATAAAATCTATTACTTGCACGCTTTCTCTGCCTAGGGTTGAGTTTCATTGCCTGTATTTGCACTGTCTCTCTCAAGAAGACTGCCACCTTAAGCACTTTCCCCAAAGTAAGTTCCCTGGCATCACTTAGTACTTACTTCTGAATAATCATAAGAACCTGTTGTTTTGAATTATACAAATCTACTGATAATCCTTCATCTTGGAAAAGTCTACAATAATGCACACCATATCCAGATAATAAATCCTGAAATGATTTTGAAATGTTAAGGACTAAGACACGTATTAGCCATACAAAGGATCTTGGGCTTAATCCTTAACATTTCAAAAAGATTAGGTAGAAGTATGCTCCTATAAACATCTGTGCTAGCATCCTGAAATGCTATGGAATAGCATGTGGATGGCCATTTATACTGTTTCTGTTCTGCAGATATACATCTGGACATTCTGTGTGATTCAGATACGATTTCCAAAGCAGATTCCATCAACATTCTTCTTTGTAAACCTCTCTCTGTTATGTCACTGGTTTTAGCCTTTTATCAAAGCAGAACATACATGCAGAAAAATTAACATTGTGAAACCCATTTTTATCCTGAAAAATGTAAAATGTTTAAATCAAATCTGTTCAGCTTATGCTTGCACTGAAAACACGTATTGCAATATAAACCTATCAGCCAACAAAAAAAAGTAAGGCTGGATTGAAATGTTCAGGTTCATTTGAGAATGTAGACAATATTAAATAATTTCTTCTTATGTTGAACATTGGCATCATATTGAAGCTCGATATAATGCAACCAAAGCTATGTAACATATTACAAATATTGACTTCTAACTTATGCTTGATTTCCAAATATTTCTCTTTTTCCATATAGACAGTCTAATGTGTATGTATTAAAATAAAAACCCAACACTCTTATTCATGTAAATGCAGATTATACTGAGATAGTGTTTTCTGAAACTGAAACCAAAATCCTCAGATTCAGTTCATTCACTTAATTTTGGACATAATGTTTCACCTTTAACCTTCCCTCAGACTTTCTAAAAATCACTTTGTTTTATGTATTTATGCATCAATAAAATCTAGTTTGGGAATCAATTAACCCACTGGATTCTTGCCTAATTGCAAAACCCATTTCCTTTTAGAGCTATGTCATACACAGATGTTAGATTAAAGATAAGAGCAGAGAGAGCGAAAATTTAGGCAATAATTCAAAAGATTTCAGCTAAAAAAAGGCATGATTTAATAAATAAAAGCTCATTCATCTATTTGAAAGGAAATTCTTGTCCAATTAAAGCTATTGGTGGACTCCGTTCCCAATATAGCTTACATTAGAAGAATTCCCTCACCTAGTGGTATTAGAGTGGGTAAATTGGAAGGGACATCATAAGTCATTTGTTTAATGGTCTCCCTACTAGGTGAAAATTTTTGAATACCTGTTCTTGTCATATGCCTCCTTGATTATTACCTGGAGCCCTATTCTGAATGCTACCACTACACTTGCCTAGGGATCCTTTCTAGCAGTGATATGAGCCATGATCTAGGAATCCAAAACTTTTCTGAAAACACCATCTTCATAGCCAATTATTTATTTTCAGGATCCTGCTTTTCTTTCCATAAACAATAGTAGGGAGAATGGTTGAAACCGATGCGTGTACCCCCAGTTCCTTTATCTTTTTACCCTTGATACTCAAAAAAGCACTTTCAGAAATCCAGGACAAGTAGGCTGGTGGAAATGATCACATAAATACTGCAATGTTTAGGAACGGTTTACTCTGAAATTACCCCATTTACTTCAATACAAATAACTGACAATGGCATTCAGAAATATTTCTTGGCATAATTTATCCACCAGAGTCTTGCCAAATCAAATGAAAGTCTTGATTTATACTTCAAATAATTTGTCAGCAATGAAACCCAACTTTCATTGTTGCTGTTCTGGCTCTAAATGGCAAAGCAGTAAAGCAGGGTTTCCATCTAGTGGCTTGCTATGGAATTTATATATAGTCTACAAATGGACGTCTACCAACAGCAAACATTTGAACAATTTTTATTGGCTGAAATAATACTTCTGTAGCTACCAGATCTGGGCAGTAAATCTCTAATGTCATCAATGAGTGAGATTTTTTTTTCCTGCCCAAATATAGTAGCCCTAAATATTTCAGCTTAGATTTCAGCCTTATTGACACTTTTCATATGATAAAAAAGCAGATACCCAGGGCTAGAAAATAGATTTTAGGTAGAAGGAACCCTTTGTTTCTCTCCCTCCTTCCATCACCCATCCTTCTGGAAGAAACGGCAGAGAATTGCATTGGTTTATTCCAGTCTTCCCTAGCCTGGCCATCTCCCAGATGTATGAAAGTTACTGCTGAAAATTCTAGGAGTCAAAGTCTACACATTTAGAAGCACTCAGGTTGCAGATGGCTGGTTTATCTTTTCCCTATTACCATTATTTCCATTCTTTTGTTCCTGCAGAAGACTTTGGTCCCTTGTTAGATCACAGTGATTTCACAGTACTGATCATTGGGTAATATGTCTAGAGATCACTTACAAACAAACAGCTGGGCTACGCATAGCATCCATTTGTGAAAGAACCAGGACACTCCATTCTCTTTAGGTTCCATTCTGATATTTACAGTTGTAAAACTCAGTTCATAGGCTAAAGATTCCCATGAACTCCCCTCCCCTCCATCCATAGAATATCAGATGAAAGAATGAAGAACTGCAAACCAGGTCTCCCAGTTGAGCCTTACACAGAAGTTGTGTGTCACTGGCAACTTTTAGCTATTGTAAGTAACAGGGAGCTGATTCAAGCTAGAATCACAGGAGACAAATGATTTGAGCTGAAAATGAAAGTGGGTTGATGATTGGTCAGAACTACACAAGCAGGCCTTGTCTAGTTTAAATTATTCAGTGTGAGGTTTTGTATGTCTAGTTTAAATTATTCTGTGTGACAGGAGAAAAACAACAGGTAAAATGGGGTAGATATTGGAGGTATCAACTTTGAAAACAGAAGAAACTGACCGATGTACCACATAGAAGCCACCCACAGAACTGATGCTTAGAATTTTCCTTGTTTTATGGAAAGAAGCAATTACCACTAGAAAAGGAATGCTAATTTTCATATACTTATGAAATTGATATAATTATGAACATTAGAAACTGAGTGAAAATAATACAGAATTCATCAGGAGATCAAAGCAGGAGAAAGGAGTTTAACTGCATTTCAGGGAAGACTCTTCGCCTACAGAGGCACCACTCTATCAACAGTATTTTTAATGCAGTTCTCAGTGAACACATGACAATGGAGAATACGCATTAGTAATAGATACAAAGAATGCATGATGACTCCACCGGTTGCTGATCTCTTTTCCCTTATCTGTCATTTAAGTGCAGATCTCCAATTTTGTGCAGTAACCAAAGTGTCACTAGAAGCATGGCATGTTAGGCACTGCCTCAGCACAGCATAAAGTAATTGGGCTGTGCGGCATTTCAGTTCTGAAGGTAAAAAATGAACATGGGGTGTGGGGATGCAAATGTAGCACCTGTCTGCCATTTCTTAAACCAAAGGCTACCTGATCCCAAAAAAAGAAACAGATGCTCTAAGAATGGAACACAGGTAATATGTTTGTGCCCCCAACTGAAGCATCAGCTTCTCCTTTAAGTCCAAATCACTGCACTGCTTTCCAAAATAATAGAGTTCTGTTCTTTTTCTTTTCATTTTCACATATTAATGTCTGGTGGAGGTTGTACAAGAACCCCTTTTACTTCCAAAAACAATATCAAGGATTTGTAGGGAGTAGTCAGGTGCTTGTGACTATTCCCATCATGTCTGATAGCCATACTTGACAACCTTCACATATCTGACATGTCTGAGAAAAGCCCTATATGTGTACAGCAGTACTCCATCATGATTAGCCCAGGAACTCCCTTGTATAGAAAAACTTCAGGTATAGTGATGCCTAAAGGTTTGTGAACCCTTTTGATTTTCTATATTTCTGTATAAATATGACCTAAAATGGCATCTGTTATCCACACAAGTCCTAAAATTAGATAAAGAGAACTCAGTTAAATAAATGAGTCAAAAACATTATACTTGTTCATTTAGTTATTGAGGGAAA